GAAAGAAAGAAAGAAAGAAAGAAAGAAAGAAAGAAAGAAAGAAAGAAAGAAAGAAAGAAAGAGGAAAGGAAGGAAGGAAGAGCCAAAGAAGCCACAACCCAAGAATCTCTTAAGACCATTGACAGGGCAAGCCACTAGAATATAAACTGACAGCAAACCCCACTCCTTACTGGCACTGATGATGTTACCTAGTTTGGTAACAAAACGTCTGCAAGAAAATGTCTATGGAGATTTTTTTTTAAAAAAGAGGCGACTGGACTTTGTTTTTTTCTTGGAAGGCATTTTGCTTCTCATCCCAGCTTCCACTCCAACCGGATGGTGGGGAATATCAGGATTTATAATACTCCTTGCAAACAGTCACCTGCATCCTTTTAGATGACCCGCTGTCTGCAAGGAGTATAAATCCTTCCATGCTCCACCATCAATTCAGAGCTGAAGAAGCTTCTTGGATGAGAAGCGAAACATCTTCAAGGCAAAATAAGTAAGTCCGGTTGCTTCTTGGGGGAAAAAAAAGCACCCCAGGATATAATCAAAGCTCCAAGTGGCCTCAACGACTCTCTAAAAGGATGCAAATGACCAGATATTGGACAAAAATATATACGTGGTTGGAAAAGATGATACAACATATTGATTTAAAACCTGAATTTTTTTCGTTGGGGATTTTGCCTGAAATCTATAGTAGTAAAGAGAGTGCATATATAATTATCCATGTATTAGCTGCAGCTAGAATTGTATTTGCACAAAATTGGAAAAGCGAAGAGATTCCTACTGAAGAGAGCGTGATCAGGAAAATATTAGAAATGTGCATAAATGAAAAGGTTAACACTAGCAGTTAGAAAAGGAACAAACTGAATATTATATGATATGGGTACTATTTTATCGCTGGCTAGAGAATAAATATGAAAACTAGAAACAAAAGAAGGTTAGTGAAATATAGAAAACATGATAATAGAATTAAATACGTTAAGATTATTATAATAATTAGATATATTATGTATATCAATATGAAGAGTAGAGAACTAATAGTAATGTAATGAATAATGCTGTAAACTCTAATTGTTATTGCACAAGATATTTGTACCCAGACAACACACAGGTTAATGGATTGTTTATATTAATGAATTAATGAATGAATTCTTTATTGGCCAAGTGTGATTAGAATAGAATAGAAAATAGAATAGAAAATAGAAAAGAAAAGAATTCTATTTGGACTTGGACAACTAGAACTACGCCTGATCTAAGCTTGGTACACAAAATTGTCTGCTACAACGTCCTACCTGTCAACGACTACTCCAGCTTCAACCACAATAACACACAGGCAAACAATAGATACCAACTCAAGGTAAACCGCTCCAAACGCAATTGCAGAAAATACGACTCCAGCAACAGAGTTGTCAACGCCTGGAACTCACTACGTGACTCTGTTGTCACATCCTCAACCCCCCCAAACTTTAACCTTAAACCGTCTACCGTGGACCTCACTCCATTCCTAAGAGGTCTGTCAGGGGGCGTGCATAAGTGCACCAGTGCGCCTACCGTCCCTGTCTTACTGTTCCCATTTATTCGTACGCACTGATTATGTATATACTTATACCTGTTTATACTTATATGTTTATATATTATGTTCATACTTGTTATCTCATACATACTTGACAATCAAATAAAATAAATAAATAAGAATAGAATAGAATAACAGAATAGAAGTAGGAATAGGAATTGGAATAG